AGTCAAGGATATCTTGAAAATCTTAGGTGATGAAGCAATTCTGACGTCAGATTCGGATTCAGGGTATCGAAAATTATTTAGAAGGTATAGTCTAGTCTTTGGTTTAAAAATTTGTCGGCCTGTGTTATTAATTAATACAGCATAATTACTTTCATTCTGTATTTCTATATATTATTTTTCGACCGACCCTATTATTCGAATGGCTTGGCCCTCTAGAAAACACAATTCAAAATTATTTGAATTAATTAATGATAAGCGTCTAAGTAACTATTGTGTTTACCCCAACCATTTTGCAACAATGTGCAAATATGTTGAGAAGAAATTGAAAAAGCTACCTACATTATGCTTACTAGCTAAATGAAATTTTGCATAAAAAGTTTGTTTCTTAATCTATATATGTTTTTTAAATCATATAGATTTGTAAGAAGAAACTATAAATAATTGCTTTTTGTCTCCACAAGATCAACCAACAGAAGATACTTCAGGTATGCTGCATGGTATGAAATGAATTATTTAGTTTCATAATTCATAATTATATAATTCAATATATACCATATTATATATGTTTATACCCCGACATGCCATATATATATATTTATACCCCCACATATGTATGCCCCGACAAACTTCCTGGTGTAACTAGTTCAACTGTTATGCAAGTCTATCCTGGATGTAGTAAACAACAAGGTTGCGAAATTGCTTCAACCTCATTTTGTGAGGAAAATTCTGTCATTTCATTAGAAATGAATTGGAAACGGTTCCACCTAAGTGATGAAAAAGAAATAATTGGTAAATACCATAAAAACTGAATAATCATTCTTATTTAAAATTATCTTTATTTTTGTAGATAAGAAACGGAGGAAATTACCTTTTACAAAGAACTGCAGCAATTGCAACCTAACTGGAGTAAAAAAAGCGTTGTGTCGCGCTAAGAAAAATGCCAGAATAATAAGGCAAAAGCTAATACAATTGAGGAAAAATCCTCAGGTATTGGTGAACCTCAAATATTTGAATAAAGAAACTAGAAATTTCTTTAGCAGCCAGTCCCGAAATCAGAAAAAAGAAGTGCTGGCTCTTTCCATTTACAAACAAAGTGGTAAAGGATACCGGTTCTTATCAAATTTCTTTTCATTACCATCCAGGAAGACGCTACAAAAACTGTTAGGGTAAACAAAATGTAACATTATTCTATTTATTGAACTAAAACTAGAACTAATAGTAGCACTATCACTAGAACTAACACTAGCTAGAAATTTTCGAAGTGATTTCGAGTCGTCTTCGATAGTGCTACTATTAATTCTAGTTTAATTACACCGGCCGTGAAAGCCTTCGTACTTATATTCTATTTATGTTACCAAATTTTATTAGTTTTGTGAATAATAAATTATTATGTTGAAATTAGATCTTTCATTTAAAATATATTTATTTCCTTTTTTCAAAGCAATATTAATTGTGTTATTTTTAAATTTGGCGGTTAAAGTTAGCNCTATGGAAGATGTAAACTTACCAGGATTTTGGGCTAACACAATAACACAAATTATTTACGATTTCGTCTCTTGACTTGTTTTCTCATTAAAGTAATAAAAAATTTAATTAAATTTAAGTTAAAATAATCATTCAAAAGATAAGTAACATTTAATAATAAATTAAATAGTATACTAAAAAAATGGAAATTACAAGAGAAAAATGTTAAAAAACAAACAGAAAACTAATTAAGAATCAAAATGAAACAAATTTATCAAAAAAACTCATTACAAAAATAAACACAATTAATTTAAAAATTGTTCAAAATGCATGCCATTGTTATCAATGCATTTTTGGCATCTTGTAACAACAGAATTAACTGCTGCTAATATTTGAAACGGATTGTTCCTTAAAGTGTTAGCAGCGTCTTTTATTTTTCCCAACAGTTCTTCCCGAGTGTTTATTGGAGCGGCGTAAACTAGATTTTTCATATAGCCCCACACAAAAAAATCTAAAACGTTAAGATCAGGAGACCTTGGTGGCCAGGCAACGGGACCTCGGTTTGCCTCTTGATAATTGACAGGACCTAGTCGTCCTATCCGTCTATGACCATGCACGTACGTTAGCGCTGTAATGCGATGGTGCCCCATCCATCTGAAGCCAATGTTGCTCCAGATCACCTAGAGGAACGTCCGATAAACATTCCGCCAAATCGTTTTGCAAAAAATTTAAAAACATCGTTGCGTTCAAACGAGGTGGCAAAAAATAAGGCCCACAGAGGTTATTATTAATGACACCCATCCACACATTAAAACTAAACTCTGTTTGGTAGGTTTTTGGACGTATTGCATGGGGATTTTCATGCTCCCAACTATGTAAGTTATGGTAATTTACGACACCCCTTCTTGTAAACGTGGCTTCATCTGTCCACAAAATCTTCTTACAAAAATTTTGGTCACGTTCAACAGACTGTACAAACCACCTACAGAAAGTTACTCTTTTAGGACCATCTTCAGGTCTTAAATTTTGTACAGGTTGAAAACGATAGGGTTTCCTGTGGTCCTTCTTCAGAGTTCGTAAAATTGTACTTCTTGAGACTCGTAAATTTTGAGCTTGAAGTAGTCTAGCAGCTATGCGACTGCTTAATGTGCTGTCATTATCAAAAAGGTTTAAAATTGCTCTTTGGTTTCTGTTATTTTGATTATTTCGTACTTGCTGGGTATTTAAACCATATTGTCGAAAACGTTGATGTGTATTGATAAATACCTGAGGATCAGGACATCTTCTATTAGGAAACCTTCTAGCGTATTCTCTAGATGCCGCTTCCGCATTTCCATCACAAAAACCATAAATAAAATGAATGTCTGCGTATTCTTCTGTCGAAAATAATCGTGGCATGATCAATTTTTCGTAGTTTTTTAAACAATGATCAACAATAAAAAAATAATGATACTTTTACTTAATAACAATCAAGAAATATTTTCAATAATTGTCAACAATTAAGAGGATTTAACGTAACTAACAGCTCGTCTCAATACAAACATAAATTGTTTTTTGAAAATCAAAGCCAACTTTTAGAGTAATTTTAGCTAAGCATGGCGGTACATGGCACGACATTCCATTTTTTTACACAAAAACTATCAATTTTAGGAAAAAAACTAAAGAGACAAAAAAGTACCATTAAAGAATGAGCTTTATAACCAATATTTTTTTATGTTAATACTCCATGGCGTTAAAAAGTTCTTCTAAAAAGAACCAAGGGGGTGGTGAATTTCATCCCCTTAGAGAGCGCTAGGGAAGCTTAAGGTATGCTAGAAAACAAGATGTTAACCAGTAGTAAATACATACCAAATTTCAAATTCTTCGGTTTACTTATAGCCGAAATAAATAAGAAAATGTAAATTTTTAGCTCAACATTGATCGCTTATAGCTCGAAAACAAAAGAGTTGCGACCCTATGTTTATATAAAAAAATTGTGTTATTTTGGCAAGTACTACGTCCTAGTAAAGTTTCCCGATTAAAAACTGAACCACCCTGTATATATATTCATACCCCCACATATGTATGCCCCGACAAACTTCCTGGTGTAAACAACAAGGTTGCGAAGTTGCTTCAACCTCATTTTGTGAGGAAAAACGGTTCCACCTAAGTGATGATAAAGAAATAATTGGTAAATATCATAAAAACTGAATAATCATTCTTATTTAAAACTATCTTTATTTTTGTAGATAAGAAACGGAGGAAATTACCTTTAACAAAGAACTGCAGCAATTGCAACCTAACTGGAGTAAAGAAAGCGTTGTGTCGCGCTGAGAAAAATGCCAGAATCATAAGGCAAAAGCTAATACAATTGAGGAAAAATCCTCAGGTATTGGTGAACCTCAAATATTAGAAATTTCTTTAGCAGCCAGCCCCGAAGTCAGAAAAAAGAAGTGCTGGCTCTTTCCATTTACAAACAAAGTGGTAAAGGATACCGGTTCTTATCAAATTTCTTTTCATTACCATCCAGGAAGACGCTACAAAAACTGTTAGGGTAAACAAAATGTAACATTATTCTATTTATTGAACTAAAACTAGAACTAACACTAGCTAGAAACTTTTGAAGTGATTTCGAGTCGTCTTCGCTGGTGCTACTATTAGTTCTAGTTTAATTACACCGGCCGTGAAAGCCTTCGTACTATATTCTATTTATGTTACCAAATTTTATTAGTTTTGTGAATGATAAATTATTATGTTGAAATTAGATCTTTCATTTAAAATATATTTATTTCTTTTTTTCAAAGCAATATTAATTGTGTTATTTTTAAATTTGGCGGTTAAAGTTAGTCCCAACGATCAGGCAACGTCGCTCGCTTCGCTTCGATGCGCAGCGAACAATGTTGCCAGATCATTGGTTAGCCCAGTTTTACACCATTATCCTAGTCGAAGTTGGTTTTAATCTATGATTAGTACTCTGCGGTGACATCGGATGGCGCTGTACGCAAGGTACAATTTAATAAGGTAGAGTTGGCCATCTCTATCCTTCCTTGTCTCTGACCACCAGTTCAAGAATTAAGAAGAACCCAAGCAGAATCCATTCAACCGATTGAGGTCCAGCGAACATACGCCCCTAAACTCCCCCGACAATTCAAAATTTGACGGTAACTTGCCAAACATTATTAAAATCAGTTGCCCAACAACAGGACTGCGTAACAAAATGTTTAGAGAGAGCCAGATAAATTCTTTATCTGCACAGCTTCAAAGCAATACACCTTCAACTACGTCAAATTATTGTAATTGCCACCAGCGTCATACCTCTCGTGAGAGATATCGTTCTTATAAAGTTCGATCAAGAAGTAATCCAAATTCAACTAATTTAAATCACGTATGTTGGTATCATCGTAATTTTGGTACAAATGCAACCAAATGCGATGGTGCCACGTGCAGTTTTTATTCCGTATTTGCAGATAGAACTACCACCAATAATTCAAAAAACCCATAATGATTCGAAAGAAAAAGGAAGAAATGTTTCCTAAATTCAAAATTAAGACTAATAGTCAGCCTCAACCTTTGGCAAATTCATTTAATACAGACTTTTCGTATTTGATAATCAAAATAATCTAAATTTTTTAATTGATACTGGCGCCGATGGCAAAACCGACATTTGCCATTCAAACTTTTTCCCAAATACAACCAAGACACCGAATCAAGCCTTTCTGCAGCCAATGGTACTAAAATTAACACTTACGGAAAAAAATTACTTACCGTTTCGCTGAATTTAAGACGAAATTTTCCATCCATTGGCGCAGACTTTCTTCATAAATTCGGTATCTTAGTTGATGTTATTTGTTATTTGGAAGCCCTACTCGGTCTCACACCGCTCCATTTATATATACAAAAGGAGGCAGCCTTAAGTGCCTTATCACTGAAAACAGTTTCTTCACTCAAGTTGATGCAGGGTAACCTCAGAGGACACCTCGAGATCCTCAAGGACCCATGTCTAAATCACCTGATTGAAATTAAAACGGACCTCATACCGACGGAATACAATTTCAACCAACCGTATAAGGTCATATTTAGAAGCATTAGGATGATTGGGAGAAGGGAGGGCCTCAACTAAAAAGAGGAGCCCAAGCCTGGTACACCGATGCTTCAAAGACAGTAAGATCTGGAGTAGGCATGGGCATCAGTGGACCAAATAGCCACATCAAATTACCCCTCAGCTCGGACTTAACAATTTTCCAAGCAGAAGTTCTTGCTATAAACTTCTGCACCGCTTTGAACCTACAGAAGGGACAAAAAGGTGCATCCATAAACATTTTCAGACAGGCGGGCCGCCTTAAAGGCAATTCAGGCCTACACGTGTGACTCCGCACTGATGGTAAAGCAATGTGGAGGTTGATTAATAAGAGTAGAATCGAAAAAAGTAGTAGAGTAAATGCAAATTTTTCACCAGATAGCTATCTTTATGTAACTTTAATATTTTTAGCTTTTATTGAAAAAAATCATGTTTTGTCATCAAATTAAAGTATTTTCAATCACTATGATGAAGTTTACTTCAAAATTGAAGCTAAATATCTTTGGATTTTTGAGATATGTCAAATATTTTAATTAAAATTTATCAAATATCACCTTGAATTCTAATTTATCAGAAGTTATCAAATTGTACCTACAAATCCAATTTGTCAGTATAATTATTAATAATACTTCAAAACGAACCTAAACTCGATATATTTCCGTCAATATTGCGAATATATCTCAAAATTTTGAGATAAGTATCTCTAAGTATCTCTAATATTTTTAGTTTTTATTGAAAAAAATCATGTTTTGTCATCAAATTAAAGTATTTTCAATCACTACGATGAAGTTTACTTCAAAATTGAAATTAAATATCTTTGGATTTTTGAGATATGTCAAATTTTTTAATTAA